TTTTTAAAATCTTTGCCTTCTAGGTCAAAACTCACCAATGAAGACTTCAGGAAACTTCTCATGACCCCGAGGGCTGCACCCACATCTGCACCACCCTCTAAATCACGTCACCATGAGTAAGTTCTGGGGTCTTCCAACCTGTCTCTTATTTCCTTCCTATGGAAAATCTACCAAATTAGATGTCTTAGGAACTGGAAGCCTAGTTATTTTTGAAGACTATGATTCTGATTGTCTCCTGCTGGAGATTGAAGCTCCAGTGGAGACTGGGGTGCTTTAGGAACTCAGAATGTTGCACATACCACTTGTACTACTAGAGTTGCTGCTGGTGCTTAAATGGACAGAGGTCCATTCCAGCCCTATGCACTCAGATACTGGGGTAGATATTGGGGAATATATGATTTTAATAGTGTTTCAGGTGGTTGTGATGTTTTCTAACGCTATCATTGAATTTCTTTGTCTTCTAGGATGCCAAGGGAGTACAATGAGGACGAAGACCCCGCTGCACGAAGGAGAAAAAAGAAAAGGTGAAGGAAGGATGGAGGAGTGTTGGGCTTTAAGTGTTGGATAGTATTTGGGGGAAAGGAGTAGGAGGTAGTAGTAGGAGCATAAAGATTAACATTTTCCTTTATTATTTTGAGGTTCTGTGCTTCACTGGAGAGGAGGGATAGGTAGAGTGGCAATTTAGGACTCTGGAGTCAGCCTGCAGTATTTTAATCTCATCTTTAGCAGTTTCTAGCTGGATAGCCATGGGCATATTGCCTAACCTTTCTAATAGTATTCTCATGGGTAGAACAGAGAGTGATTTCACAACTTTTTATCAGGTTGTCATGAGGATCAGCTGCGATATAAGTGCAGCTGATATAAGTGCATATAAGCACTTAGCACTAGTGCCTGGCATATGATAACCACCCAGTAATACTTGTCTACTGTTATCACCATCATCATCATTATCATCATTATTCATTTCTATGATACTAAAACTTCTGGACCTGGTATTTTGCTGTTCCTTTCTTTCGGGGGAGGACCAGCAAGGAATGACTGACTTTCAGTTGAAATTTGGAAGGTGATAAAAATTTAGATAACTTCCTGGTTGCCCTATGGAAAAATCTCTACAGAGTTGGGTGGCATTGAAAAATTCTGAATTGACAGAATGTCCTGAGGTGGCATTGAAACACTGTGATCTGGAAGATGCTGTAGTTCTGATTTTGAGAACTATCAAGAGGTGGCCAGCAGTTCTATCAGGACATATATGAGTTTTCACCAGAGAGTTGGAGGAAACAGGCAGGAACAATTCTGCTGACCTTGGGATAACAGCTGGTGAGCTTTACACATTGCTTTTCTCTTGTCACAGTTATTATGCCAAGCTTCGTCAACAAGAAATTGAGAGAGAGAGAGAACTAGCAGAGAAGTACCGGGACCGTGCCAAGGAACGGCGAGATGGTGTAAACAAAGATTATGAGGAAACTGAGCTAATCAGTACCACAGCTAACTACAGGGCTGTGGGCCCCACTGCTGAGGCGTGAGTACCATGGCAGCCAGGTTGTGATTCCCTAAGCATTCCAGAGTCCTGCTATCACAGTGTGAGTTCTGCCTAACACTTTACCCACTTTGGATCCTCAGCTGAGCCATTTCAAGAGGGACTTGAAGACATAAAAGACTATTCTAATGTGGTTCTCTTTCCATATATAGGGACAAATCAGCTGCAGAGAAAAGAAGACAGTTGATCCAGGAGTCCAAATTCTTGGGTGGTGACATGGAACACACCCATTTGGTGAAAGGCTTGGATTTTGCTCTGCTTCAAAAGGTGAGCCTTGGTGGGTGGGTGGAGAGTAATTCTAGAGTGCTGAATGCTCTTGTACAAGCCTTTCCAGGTGAAGGAGGGAGACTTCTGTTAGTCCAGACCATGTAGAAGGGCTAATGGTGGCTCTTGTTTATGAGTAATTACTATTCATCCTTCAAGTGATCACCTAGGTATGGTTAAGCCCCATTCCTCACCTCCTACTTCCTGTATCTTTGCATAGCTCTTCTATTTCACTTATCATAGTTACCACATTTTGTTGTCTCTTCTGCTGTAAGCTCCCTTAGGGCAAGCACTGTATTGACTTATTTAGTATTGAGTCCTTAGTTCCTGGCACAGCAAGGTGTATAGTGGTGTTAGGTAAATGTATGTAATACGAATAAATGTCTAAACTCTAGGTACGAGCTGAGATTGCCAGCAAAGAGAAAGAAGAGGAAGAACTTATGGAAAAGCCCCAGAAGGAAACCAAGTAAGTAAACATTGTGGAGAGCTTGAGAGTTTAGAAAAGTGGGACTTAAAGCAGGAACACTTTGGATTCTGTGTCTCCCTCTTTCTCTGCCCCTCCCCTGCTTTCACTCTGTCTCTCTCTCAAAAATAAATATTAAAAAAAAAAAGATAAAAAAGTAGGAACACATTTAGCAAAAAAACTTATTTTTATATTTCTAGGAAAGATGAGGATCCTGAGAACAAAATTGAATTTAAGACACGTTTGGGTGAGTACAGAATTTCTATGCTAAAGGTTGTACATTTTAGGTGAATTGTAGGGACTTAATGCTCTGAGCAGGATATGCTTCTCCTTTCCCTCAACCTGCTTTCCTCTATCTTGCCCCCAGAGTAGCTAGTTCTTATAAAATGCTCTACTAGAAATTGGATGTGGACTTATTCATTTCATGTATATAAGTTATTAATGTCTCCTCAATTATGTTGGAAGCTGTTTCAGATTGTGGTTTATGCATTAAGGGAAGTAGCTCGTAGCTTATGTGTTAAAGGAGGTAGCATGGTTGGTGATTAAAAGCTCAGAATTTGCAGTCTGAGACCTGGGTTTGAATCCTGGTAATGAAACTAGGCATGTGATATTAGGCACCTGACTTCACTTCACATTACCTGTTTGTCTGCAAAAATGGGGCTAATTCACCTCATGGGATTATTGGGGCAAAGAAAAGTAGTTTATGCACCATACCTATCATGTTAAGCATCTTTCTTCCTCACAGGGCCTAATACAATGTGAGGCACATAGTGCTCTTGAGAAGACTTTGTAAAAGACTGGATAGGAGCTCAGGCTTTGGAGATAGACTGCCTGGGTCCCCTTCTTTATTCTGTTGCTTGGTAGCTGTATGATTCTAGGTAAATCATTTCACTCTCAACTTTTGTATCTTTATCAGTTAAAAGGAGATAGTAAGGCACATCTTATAGGGCTATTGTGAAGTTTGAGTGGGGGCTGGCACAGAGTTAAGCACTTGATAAATGGCAGCTGTTAATTGTAGAAGGTTCTCAATGGCTATGCTTGCTGCTCGTCCTGTTTTTGTAGGCCGCAATGTTTACCGCACACTGTTTAGGAGCAAGGCATATGAACGCAATGAGCTGTTCCTGCCAGGCCGCATGGCCTATGTGGTAGACCTGGATGACGAGTATGCAGACACAGATATCCCTACCACGCTTATCCGCAGCAAAGCAGATTGCCCCACTATGGAGGTAAGTGACTTGAGAGCCTCTTACTTGAGCCTTAAACCTGGGAACCAGCCTTGATTCTGCCCTGGGTCTCATCCACCACATTTAACCCATCACTGAGTCCTGTCCACTTTTCACTTTCCACAGATTCACTTGAATCTAAATTTCAATTTAGATTCACTGGAGTGATTTTTACAAATGGCTGGTGTGATCTTTTTCAACATGTACATTTTTGCCTCACCACTATTGAGAAGCTTTCAGTGATTTCTCATCGAGAAATTGCCCTTGCACCTTTTGGCCTTCTGAGCCACTTTTCACCATGATTCCCTGTTGTTGTTCCCCAGGGAATCCCAGCTCTCTTGAACGTGCTAGATTCACTTTTGACACAGGTCTCTTTGTATATGCTATTCTGTTTGCCTGGAATCTCCTGTAACACCTTTCTCTGTTTTCACCTAGTTGGTTATAATTTGTCCTTTAGTTTGTTAAGTGAATGAAGTGAAGAGATTCTTGCTCTGTGGCATAATATCCTTGCTACTTGGGGTTTTCAGGCCCAGACAACACTGACTACAAATGACATCGTAATCAGCAAGCTCACCCAGATCCTTTCCTACCTGCGGCAGGGTACCCGCAATAAGAAGCTCAAGAAGAAGGATAAAGGTAACCTGGAGAGTTAGGGAGAGAAACCTTAACTCTGGAGGGGCATTTGAGGGTGGAACCATGGTCTGCTGGAGCCTTCTGTGTCTAGAACATTGGGGGGCTCCTGGAGAGCAGCAAAAAATGAGAGCAATAGAGCATTAACTTGGCTCACCCAGAAAGCAGTGGTCAGCTTTGAGACTTGATGGAGGAGAGTATTGGGAGATTTTATTATCCCACCTTCTAAACAGATGGGCATTCAGAGCTGTTTAGGCTAAGTGGGAATCAACTCAGGAATATTTTGTTCACTACTCTCTTTATATCTTAGGGAAGATGGAAGAGAAGAAGCCCCCTGAAGCTGACATGAAGTATGTATCGTAGCACTGTCACCTGATGTGAGGGAGGAAGGAGCTCTTTGTTTCTTGTTTTTTGGCATTTTGGGGAGGCCTTGGTGTGAGAATCTGGAGAAATGGCCAGGGAGAGTGGAAGTGGTGTGACTTTGGCAGCTAGGGATCTCTGTTTTTCTAGTATATTTGAAGACATTGGGGATTATGTGCCATCCACAACCAAGACTCCTCGGGACAAGGAGCGGGAGAGATACCGGGAACGAGAGCGTGATCGGGAGAGAGACAGAGATCGTGACAGAGAACGGGAGCGAGAACGAGATCGGGAGCGGGAGCGGGACAGAGAGAGAGAGGAAGAGAAGAAGAGGCACAGCTACTTTGAGAAGCCGAAAGTGGATGATGAGGTGAGATAGGACCCTGGTACCGAGTGGTAGAACTGCCCATCTCTGTGCGTGCCCAGCCAGGTAGGGTAGGGAGTTGATTCAGGGATTAGTCAAGTGGGGAGGAATGAGTGTAAATCCCTCATGGTGATACTCACTTCAGTTTCTCTTTTCCTTCCAGCCCATGGACGTTGACAAAGGTGGGTTGTATCTGAGACATCTTGAATTAGCTCTGGTGGTCTTGTTTTGCCCTGGGCTGAGAGTCTATCCTAGAGTTCAGAGCTGGCAACGGTTGGGATTGTGGGACTTCTGGTCTGGGTTCTCATTAAGATCCACATCTTGCTTCGTGGAATAGAAAGAAGAGGAGTCTGGAGTTGCCTACCTCTTCCTGGGCAATGGCAGGCATATTTGCTCTGTTAGATACAATTCCTCCAGCTTTGCGGTTCTGAAAGACGTGAGGCAGGTCTCACCGGCTGTATTCTTTGTACACAACCCCATTTCACCCAGAGTAGCTCATTATTAGTTGAAATTTGATTAAAATTATGTTAACTAAAAGAGAGTTTTTTCTGTTACTTAAAAAATGGTTTTTTGAAAACAGGTTAGAAGTGTGTGTGGAAAAGAGGTCAAAAGTTCCTTGTTTGACATTCTGAATAGAGTTCCCTTTCCCCCCCAGGACCTGGATCTGCTAAGGAGTTGATCAAATCGATCAATGAAAAGTTTGCTGGATCTGCTGGCTGGGAAGGCACTGAATCATATCCTTTATTTCACTATGTTGTTGGATTCTAGAAAACTGTTGTCCTGTTTCTTTCCAATTCCACCTACCTCCCTGTTTCCCCACAACCGCTGGCTCCCATCCTGCCTCTTACCTCTTACGGTGAATTTTGGTAGAATTTTGCAGTCGTTGTGACTTCCCCTTTTTTCCCCACATTTGTTCTTTTTTTTTTAAGGTATTATTATTTTTTTAAGTTTATTTCAGTAATCTACACCCAGTGTTGGGGCTTGAGCTTAACGACCCTGAGATCAAGAGTCACATTCTCTTCTGACTGAGCCAGCCAGGTGCCCCATGCCTTTCCCATTTCTCAGAGGATTCACGCAAGCTCACAGCCTTCTCCTCACAAGTTTTCATGTTGGGGCTTCTAGGCCTTGGCCCTTCCTTCTTGAAGCTTTTCTGCTATAGGTAGAATTATTTTCTTTGACATAGCGTATGCTGAAGAAGCCAGAGGACAAGAAGCAGCTGGGAGACTTCTTTGGCATGTCCAACAGTTATGCTGAGTGTTATCCAGCCACGTATGTGAGACTGTTAAAGAAGGGAGGCTGGGATAATTGGACAATAAGTTGTGGGGAGGGGGATGAAGTGGAAATTTCATTAACTTGGACCCACGGGTACTTATTTGGATGAACTGTTCTTTGAGGCTCTGGGTGGGAGGTCTGGGGGTGGTGGTTGTCATTTCTAGGCATATGTCATCTTAGTTGGGTGGGTTTCTGGATAAAGCATAGGAGTATGGGTCTGCACCATCTCTTTAACTGTTGCTTCTCTCCAGGATGGATGACATGGCCGTGGATAGTGATGAGGAGGTGGATTACAGCAAAATGGACCAGGTGTGGAGTTGGAAGGATGGGTGGGGATTTGGGGGTAGTTACTCTTAAGCAGTATCCCCCTCCCCCCTCCCAAAAGATCTGTGTCTCGTTTTCTGGGCCTTAACTTTTCCTCCACTGCAGCACTAAGAACAGCAGCATTGTGAGGTCATGAGAAGCTTAACCTTTAACGTATCTGTCCAGAAGCAAATGAGATATGCCCAAAATAGATTTATTTCCTACAAAATGCCAGGCTTTGATTTCTGTACTAGGCAGTAAGCAAGCCTTTAGTGCATAAAGAGAAAGGGTAGGAAGGAACTTCAGTCTTGAGAAAAATAACTGAATTTTATTCTAGCAGGATTGAAATGTTCTTCTCTGTCTTAAAAACAAAAATACCTTAACAAATAATACCATTAATGGTGGTGAAATTTCAACTAGTTTTTCCTTGTTTTTACTGCAGTGGTTGAGCATGGTGTAATTCCATCTTGGAGACTTGCTGAACCCTGGCTCTGCCAAGTTTTGTGACCTTGACAACTTATTTTACTGCTTATGCTTCAGTTTCCTCATCGAGAGAATTCGGAGGAATATGGTTGTTTTTTAATAGAGTTTGAGGAAATTAAATAAGTGTTCAGAATAATGCCTGGTACATAGTAAGCATTTATTAGGGTGGGATTTATGAATGATGAAACAAGATTGTGGGAGAACCTGGCTTTATTAAGCCTAAAATTCTGTTTCCACTGACATTTCTAACTTCCCTGTTCTCACTGTGTCTCTAACAGGGTAATAAGAAAGGCCCCTTAGGCCGCTGGGACTTTGATACCCAGGAGGAATACAGCGAGTATATGAACAACAAGGAGGCTTTGCCCAAGTGAGTTGTACTAAATATGGCCAAAGATTGAGGAGAGGGATGATGATGGGCCAGCCTTCACCAGAACAGGTTCTCTAGTCACAGGGCCATCTGGGAACACCTTGCTACTGCTATGCAACCTCTGATGCCTTCTTTCTCCCAAATGTCCTTTATTGTTCTCAGAGCTGCATTCCAGTATGGTATCAAGATGTCTGAAGGGCGGAAGACCAGGCGCTTCAAGGAAACCAATGATAAGGCAGAACTAGATCGTCAGTGGAAGAAGATTAGTGCAGTAAGTGAGACTGCCTCTTAGGTGGACTTCATCTGAGGGAGACAATGGCCCACAGATGCAGGAATAGGCAGGGGGTTGGAGAGCAAAGGAGAGCGGTCAGACTTGTGTCTTAGGTGAGTTTAGGCTCACAGCCTAACTGTTGTGTGTTAACTGTTCTTTTTTGTAGATCATTGAGAAGAGGAAGAAGATGGAGGCTGATGGGTGAGCAGTAGCATTTTTCCTCTGGGGCACTGTAATAATTGGTTAGAGTACTGATCTTATGCCAACTCATTTTTCCTTCCATTGCAGAGTTGAAGTGAAAAGACCAAAATACTAATCTCTGGTTCCAACTGCAAAAAGATTCACAAGGATGTGCTTGCCACTGTTTGCTTTCTATAATTCCCCAAAGAGTTGCAAGGTGTCTTTCTGTGAATGTATATAAAATGTTGTATAATCATTTAGTTCCATTAAAACTGGTCAACCTGGGGGCACCCTGGGTGGCGCAGTCTGTTAAGTGTCTGACTCTTGATTTCAGCTCAGGTCATGATCTCATGGTTTGTGGGATCAAGCCCTGTGTCTGGGCTCCGCTCTGACAGTGTGGAGGCTGCTTGGAATTCTCTCTCTCCCTCACTCTCTGCAAACCCTTCCCCCCTGCTCTCCCTCTCTCTCTTTAAATAAATAAACTTAAAAAAAAAAAAAACCAAAACCTTGTTAACCTGCTATGCTGTCTTCTCTGGGTTCAGCATCCTCCTTTCAGGACCCCTGAATCACCAAGAGGAATTCCACTGATTGTGTAAAATGTACATGTGGAATGTTAGCTCAGACCTTTAAGCCGTGGTTCTAGATTGCTGGATAAGGATCCTAGCCGGGACGCCTAGTGGAGAAGGATGTAATGACCTCACTGATGGGCAAGAGGTAAACAGGAACATAAGGATGATTGGTCTTAAATAACAGAGGCATTCAGGCCCATATGTGGCCTATTCTTAGGACAGAGATTCCCTGGGAATTAGGGTCCACCTAATTAGTCCTAGAGCAGGACTAAGCTCTAGGTGAAGGTACCTGAGGACAATCATGGGAATAAAAATGAATTTATACCCCCCCCCCCCCGTGCTTTTAGTAATTCTAAGCACAAATTGCTGATTCTCTGGCTGAAGGGGTAATTCTAGTAAGTGCCTTGGGGGGGCTCCCTATGCTAGGCCAGCAGGGTTTGGTGCCCTTCAACACCCTGAAATGTTTGTCAATGCCCCAAGTGGGTCCCTGGCCTCTGAATCATTCCATCCCCAACCTTTTCCCCCTCTCTGCTCATTGCTAGCACTTTGGTCTGGTGCTCATAGGGTCATCATTTATTTTCTGACTGGATGCCTAGCTGCCACTTCTTACCCTGAGCCCAAGACCTGTCCAAGAAAGCTAGAAGGCCACCTTAACCTTTCTGCCTTGCTTTTGGTCACTTTTAGCTTGATACGGCAAGATCATTTGAGGAAGCCAGCTTTGTGCATGGCACCTAGAAGGATGAAATTGGGCTTTGTCTGCAACAGCACCTAGAATGCCTAATATCAGACAGTAAAGGACATCCTGGTCTCATGGTTGAAGCAGTGGTCTCAGTTAAGGGTCACAGAAACCTGGCTCAGATAAAGGTATCTAGACGGTCATTAAATTTAACACTTGGCATTTGGGGGTGTGTGGCTGGCTCAGTCCATAGAGCATGCGACTCTTGATGTCAGGGTCATGAGTTCAAGTGCCATGTTGGGCATAGAGCTTAATTAAAAAAAAAAAGACCTGGGAGTTGACTCAGTTTAAAATTCATTTCTGGGGGTGCCTGGGTGGCTCAGTCGGTCGAGCATCTGACTTCAGCTCAGGTCATGATCTCACAGTTCATGAGTTTGAGCACCACGACAGGATCATTGCTGTCACCACGGAGCCTGCGCGTCCCTCATTTGCATTCTCTCAAAAATAAAAAACGTTAAAAAGAAAATAGTTTCTGGCTCTTTCCATGGCAGCAGAGCTCTTGCAATCAGAGTCAATGTTCCTAAAACCCGCCAGACTTTCTGCAAGAAGTATGGCAAGCACCAACCCCACAGAGTGTACACAGTACAAGAAAGGCAAAGATTCTCTGTTAAGCCCAGGGAAAGAAGCGTTATGACAGGAAGCAGAGTGGTTATGGTGGGCACACTAAACTGATTTTCTAGCAAAAGCATAAGATTACAAAGACGATTGTGCCGAGGGTTGAATGTATTGAGCCCAATAGCAGATCTAAGAAAATGCTGGATATTGGAGCGCCTGGGTGGCTCGGTCGGTTGGGGTTCGACTTCGGCTCAGGTCATGATCTCATGGACCGTGAGTTCGAGCCCTGCGTCGGGCTCTGTGCTGACAGCTTGGAGCCTGGAGCCTGTTTCAGATTCTCTGTCTCCCTCTCTCTCTGCCCCTCCCCTGTTCATGCTCTGCCTCTGTCTCAAAAATAAATAAATGTTAAAAAAGAAAAAATTAAAAAAAAAAATCAAAGTGATCTTTAAAAAAAAAAAAGAAAATGCTGGCTATTAAGAAATGCAAGCATTTTGAACTGGGAGGAAATAAGAGAAAGGGCCAAATGATCCAGTTCTAAGGTTTATATTTGGTTATATTATGAAGACCATAACATCTTGAGGTTATGTTAAATAATAAAAATCAGTTTCTGCAGAGGAGCCTGGCTGGCTGACTTGGTCAGTAGAACATGTGACTCTTGAACTAAAGGTGTGAGTTCAAGCCCCATGCTGGCTGTAGAGCTTACTTTAGAAAAATTTTTTGGGGGTGCCTGGGTGGCTCAGTCGGTTAAGGGTGGGTCTTTGGCTCAGGTCATGATCTCCTGATCTGTGGGTCATGATCTCACGGGGTTTGTGCCCCCCATCGGGCTCTGTGCTGACAGCTGGGAGCCTGGAGCCTGCTTTGAGTTCTGTGTTGCTCTCTCTCTCTCTGCCCTTCCCCCCTGCTCACACTTTCTCGAAATAAACATTTAAAAAAATATAAAAAAATTAAAATCAGTTTCTGCAAATATCACCAAGACTTGTGGACATGACCGAGGTCCTCTGGTTGTCCACATGGTGAGTGACAAGGACCCCCAACACCACATGGCAACTTTTCCATTCACACAGGACATAGAGCTTCTCTGAGGTCCCTCACCTCACTCACCTCTTATTAAGGGCTTTGGGCATCAGCCTATGTCTTAGAAGGCTTAGCATTACAGTTATGTGAGAAACTTCTCTTTAACCACAGAAGCTGTGCTCTTTATGTTCCCCACCAGAGAGTGCTCCCATCTTTATGGAGCCTTTGGTATCCAGAATGTTCAGAACGTCAACTGTTGTGCCCATTTTCCTCTTCAGCAACTCCTTGGCAGCTCTGAGCACTGTTGGTCTGGCCCACTGAGAGTATGCAGCCAAACTGTAGGAACCGGCAGGACGCTGTTCCTTTGGCCCGGAAGATGTGGAGCACGGAACGCAGCAGCTTAAGCGTGCGCTTGAGGTGCTTGCTGTCCAAGACCCCGCGTATCAAATTCTCGCGGTGTGGGGCTTTCGCTGCTGCCGGACTAACCTGGAGGCCGTGCATGGGCTTCACGAAGCCACGAACTGCTGGCGTCCCCTTCTGCTATCTCGAGGGCGGCAAATCATCCTTTATAGTTGCGGGAGGGAGTACCCTACCTGTCAGCATCGATCAGGATGAGGGGAAAGGACTTAAAGGCAGTTCCCAACTTTAGGTGATTTGACCAAGGAGAGCAATGACGGTTGTGCCGTCTACCTGGCCAAAAAAAAGGGCCACGGCAACACGGAGAACTACAACCTGAGGACCAGGTCCCTGGGATGCACTACACCCACGATACCTGCAGCCTGCCGGGACTTTACGCGTCTTAGCGCCACTTCCGGCCCCGCCCCAAAGGCGGAAGCGGAATCTGGGCCACTCCTCCAGGCGTGTGAAAGGGTTTTGGGTTTACCGGTGCACTCTTGAGCGGTCCGGATTCCTCTGGTGCATGGACCGCACGTGTGAAGAGAGGCCTGTGGAGGATGAGAACGACGAGGAAGACCCCAACTCCACGGAAGCCCCAATCCGCATCCGGGACAGTCCGGAAGACATCGTGCTGGAAGCTCCAGCCAGTGGGCTGGCGTTCCATCCGACCCGCAACTTTCTGGCGGCGGGGGACGTGGACGGGGACGTGTACGTGTAAGTGCTGGGCAGGGCTGGGGGCTGCCGGATCTGGAAGCTTCCCAGGGATAGAGGTGGGACGAGGAGAGAAAAGTTGCAGGGAGACAAGTTTTAGAAGACTGAAGTGGTCTTATTCGTTCAACAGCATTTGGTTTTAAACCAGTTAGTTACCTGACCCTGAAACAGGCTCAATGCGGTCCCCCCACTTTGCTTCTTGCCTGTTTTAATCTTTCAAAAACACAAAACCCACCACCTCTCTTTCTTGATTAAAACCCTTCAATAGTTTACCTTGTTTTTAGGATTAGGTCCAAACTCCTTAATCTGGCTTTTAAAGTCGTGACCACCTGGCCCTCGCTTACTTCCCCCTTTACTGTGTTTTATTCATCCTCTTATCTTTTAAATGTATCTGTTTATTAATCGTTATTGCAGGCACACACATAAAATGCTGGTTGCAGCTCATTAATGGGTCATGAGTGGAGTTTAAGGAACACTTTTCTGTATTCTGTAGTCCGTTTTGTTCTCCGTTATATCTCTTGCTTCTAGACAAGGGTAGGTGCTCAATACGTGTTTGATTTTGAAGAAGTAGGGTGGAAGCAGTGAAAAGCCACTGAAGGTTTTAGCCAGAAGAGTTGTGCTGTCAGATTTACTTAATGAATTTAAACCTCAGCCTCCTCATTAGCTTCAGTCACCTTGGGCAAGTTAATTTCCATATTTTCGTGTTCAAAAATAGGAATAATAATAGAGGCTTACCTCTGAGATATTGCATGTTTGGCTCCAGACCATTGCAATAAAGTGAGTCATAGGAATTTTTGGGTTTCCCAGTGCGTGTAAGTTAAGTTTACACGATAGTGTAGTCTATTAAATGTGCATTAGCATTATGTCTAAAAAACAATATACATACCTTAATTAAAAAATATTTGATTGCTAAAAAATACTAAGTATAATCTGAGTCATAATCACGATCACAGATCATTATAACAAATATCATGAAAAACTTTGGAATTTTGCAAGAATTACCAAAATGTGACACAGACACACAGTAAGCAAATGCTATTGAAAAATGGCATGGATAGACATACATACCATAGAGTCGCTGCAGACCTTCAGTTTGTAAAAAATGCAGTATCTGTGAGGCACAATGAAAGGAGGTATGTCTGTACCTATGTTGCAGAGTGTCAGGTGTATATACTACAGCACCGAAGTTCAACAAATGTGGGTTCTGTTCTACTGCCTTTCATACTTCATGCCATACGCTTGGGAGTACCTCTGGACTTCCACCTTTACTCACACCCTCATTGTGTCAGGTTTTTCTCCTCTTCTCTGCTCCCAGCCACTGCCTTTTGGCAAGTTTCTGACTTCTCCCATGACCATTCCAAAGAGGTTCCTTTTCCCATAGGACTAAATTAATAATCCTGCTTGGCCTATGGTCTCAAGTCTAGTCTAACTCATTTTTCCGGATTCAGCCATTCCACTCCTGCCAGTGGAACCCACCTCATTCCTTGTCTCTACCCTAGAAGAGACCTTGATATGTGCCTCCAGTATCTGTAAGGTGAATTGCTTTACATGACCCAACTCATTTCGTAACCTTAGCTTACCAGGGCTCTCATCTTTAAGGCACTGGGACAGAGCAAACAATAAGCAGATACAGTTCTCATCTGAAACTCACTGGCAAGCACTTAGTCGTTGGTCCTTTTTGAAGATCTGCTCTGAGGTAGGCACTGGTAATACACTGTGGACAAGTATTTGCCTCAAAGCTGAGCTTTCAGTCTTGTGTTTCTCTGCTCCACCTCCATTTTGATCCTACCTCCTTTTCATCATGTGGACATGTGGCCACAGTGTCCTGTAATCAGTTGTTACCTGGGGTACAAGACCCCAGTCTTGCTGATTTTTACATTTCCAGCTCCTGGGGCTCTTCTGACTTCAGTAAATATCTCATGCTCTCCATAGTGGTCCAGATCTAGTATTTCCTGAAGCTGGGGCTTTGCTTTGTAATGATGTTGTGGGGTCAGCTTACAAAATCCTGAGCAAATACACTTTGAATTAACGTATATTGAATTAAAGACAGAACATTTGAAGCTCACTGAAAGCGGAAAAATGGGATGGTGAGCTCTTTGGGTTTGGTGGTGTGCAAGTGTGAGTTCCTAGGTACGTTGGAAGGTTTAGTCTTTATGCTCCATGCTGCCATGATCTGGGGTCATTCAATCTCCTCCCCCCTCCACCCCCAGCTTTTCCTACTCCTGCCAAGAGGGAGAAACCAAGGAGCTCTGGTCTTCAGGTCACCACCTCAAATCCTGTCGAGCCGTGGTCTTCTCTGAAGATGGGCAGAGTGAGTATTGGGGAAGGCAGCCAAGGATACGGTGGCAAGGGATCAGTGAGCAGCACCATGACCTGGGCACCTTTTCCCCCAGAACTTGTTACTGTCTCCAAGGACAAAGCCATCCACGTTCTAGATGTGGAGCAGGGCCGACTGGAAAGACGCATATCCAAGGCTCATGGGTAAGGGAAGCTAATTGTGTGTTGAGGTCAAGGGTAAGGTGGTTAAGTCCCTACTGGAACAAAAATGGCTCAAGAAGCTCTGTACCTCTAGTGCCCCCATCAACAGTCTTCTGCTGGTAGATGAGCATGTCCTGGCCACTGGGGATGACACAGGTGGCATCCGGCTCTGGGACCAGCGGAAGGAGGGCCCCTTAATGGATATGCGGCAGCACGAGGAGTATATTGCCGACATGACTCTGGACCCAGCTAAGAAGCTGCTGCTGACAGCCAGGTACAGCCTCAGAGCTGCTTCCCCTTCCCTGTTAAATGTCTCCCTCGCTGGGAGCTTTGGCCAAGCCTGCTGCTCTGCTCTCTCTACAGTGGGGATGGCTGCCTTGGTGTCTTCAACATCAGGCGACGCCGGTTTGAACTGCTCTCAGAGCCTCAGTCTGGAGACCTGACCTCGGTCACCCTCATGAAAGTACAGATGGGTATGAGGGTTTGGGATTATGCTAGCAATCTGGTCTGAAGGAGTGCCACAGACAGGTTTTTCTCCATTTCCCTACAGTATGGAAAGAAGGTGGCCTGTGGCTCCAGTGAAGGTACTATATATCTCTTCAACTGGAACGGCTTTGGGGCCACAAGTGATCGGTTTGCCCTAAGAGCTGAGTCTATTGACTGCATGGTTCCAGTCACGGAGAGCCTGCTGTGCACTGGCTCCACTGATGGAATCATCAGGTGAGAGAAACTGGAGAGTCCTAAGATCACATGAGGGTCAGACCCAACCAGCCAGGGCCCAACACTCTTTTCTCTCTGCCCAGGGCTGTCAATATCCTTCCAAACCGAGTGGTGGGCACTGTGGGCCAGCATGCTGGAGAGCCTGTGGAGAAGCTGGCCCTTTCTCACTGTGGCTGCTTCCTGGCCAGCAGTGGCCATGACCAGCGCCTTAAGTTTTGGAACATGGCTGAGCTGCGGACTGTGGTAGTGGATGACTACCGCCAGCGGAAGAAAAAGGGAGGGCCCCTCCGGGCCCTAAGCAGTAAGGCTTGGAGCACAGATGACTTCTTTGCAGGACTGAGGGAGGAAGAAGACTCCACAGCTCAGAAGGAAGGGGAGGAGAGTGAAGATGAAAGTGATTGAAGGGATGAGGTCAATCTCAAGATGGTTCCTCCCTGGGGAAGTCTTGCTTCCTGGGCTGGATACCAGAGAGGCTATTTACTTATAATACTCTTGTGCAGCGCACAAGATGCATAGCCAGAGATGCAGGACCGAGGGCGCTCGTGACAAAGCACTTGCCCTGTAGCGGCTACTCACTCTACCAGTATAAGAGAAGCCCGCAGCTGGGGCAAGACAGCACGGACACAGGTGTACACCAACCAGGGGTTTAATATAAATACAACCAGCATAGAAAAACCCAACATCACACACCAGAATGTAAAGTACTGGGGACATAAAGCAGATTTCTGAACCTTTGGCTCAGCCAGCCCCCAAATAAAATCAACAAAAATGACAAATCAACAAAATAAGAAGTGAGATTCATATTAAGCTGTGGGAGGAGGGAGGAAGGTTTGTGTATGTATCACACAGAACGGCCAAGGAATACCAAAGGGCCAAGGTTAGTCCCTGGGCTGGGAGGTGCATGGCAAGGTCCCTCACCACAACTTAGCCAAACCAGAGCTGTCCCAGGTGTACTGGGGCCCTGCCCCAAAGGGGAGGCTGTGTCAGAGGTAGGGCAGAGCCCATGTTCCTCCCCCTTTCAAATCCGATGGTGGCTGCCCAGGCCTGCTGGGCTGGGGACTAACACAGGCTCTGTCAACTCGTTTGGGCTGCCTGTGAAGAGGACATGGTCACTGCTTAACCACGGTACCTGCCTTAGCCCCACCAGTCGGTAGAAGACTGGCTCTAGAGGCACTCAGTGCCTCTAGCAACCTTGCAGACACAGCATCCTTAGCCATCTCATGCCCATTCTGCACATCTGGGGCCAGCACAACCCAGATGAGGCCACTGAAGGGCACTGGATGCCCAGGGATCACCACCTGGTACCAGAAGCGGTGCCAGCCAGCAGGGCCCATGCCCAAACACTTGGTGAGGAACACAGGGCTGCCCAGCTTCATCCGCTGGCACAACAGCTGCAGGGCACCCCGAGCCCCTTGGGACTCTAGCTTGTCCCTGGCCAGGGCCAACCGACTGCCCTCTGGCTGTAGGCACTGCAGGGAGGGGCCCACCAGCTGCTGGCGGAGTCGCTGCTTCAGATCTGGCTTGAGCCACTCCACAGCCACCTGCTCTCCACAGAGGCGTGACTGCCCTGCAGAAAAAAGGCAGAGACAAGGGCAGGTCGAACCCCTGGATCCTGAGCCCCCAAGCCCTATCAACACAAGCCTGTTTAATTTCTAGCCTCCCCATTTCCTGGTAGTGTAACCTTGAGCAACTTCTCCAGGCTTCATTGTGTTTCTTTGTAAAGGGGGTGTAGTAACTGCTATCTCCTAAATTCCTTGTTGGAATGCTGGTTGATGCAGGCTTTGTCTACCTTATAACCATCATAATAGCTAACCTTTACTGCGAATACCTGCCAAGAATCAGGGAATGTGCTAAGTGACACCTAATTCTCAAAACAGCCTGAGGAAGGAAGTTCTACAGTAGATAAAAGGTAGACTCGGTAGGACTACCTTAGGCGAATCAATCTCAAAACTGTCTCTTTTCATATCTAAAGAGGAAGATCAGTCTGTGTGTGTCACTGGGATGCTGATTAAGTTACAAGATAATGCCTGGAAAGCTTTAAAGTTACCATAGATGGTAGCTGGTAGGTAGCACAAACGGAAATTTAAAAATCTCAGGTTAAATAGCATGAGGTCGAAAACTCAGGGATTCTTAACGCTACTATCTTGCTCTTTACCCTATATGCTGACGTGTAAAAGTGCACGGCATAATGTGTTTGGCCCCAACCAGCGGCCCCCCCCACCGCCTAGCTCCCATACCTTCCACTAGGGCTTTTTTGGCCATGGCGGCGGCGCGGTGCGAGTTGAACTTCAGCAGCGCAATTTGCGCGGGCGCGGGCCCAGGGCTGGGCATCAGCAGCGCCTCCTGCAGGCCGGGACCCAGGGGCTGCAGCGCGAGCAGCAACGCGCGGCGACTCAGCCCCGGAGGCAGCCCGTCCACACTCAGCTCGCACTTCTCAGTACTGCGGCACACGAGCAGCGGGCAGGAGGGCCGCAGCGGGTGGTTGTGCAGCGTGGCGATGGCGGCCTGGGCGCCGCGCCGCGAACTGTAGCGGGCGTAGGCGAAGCCACGGTTTAGGCCGCTGAAGGTCATCATCAGGCGGAACTCGTAGAGCCGGCCCACGCGCTGGAACAGTGGGATCAGCTGGTGCTCGTACACGTCTTGGGGCAGCCGCCCGATAAACACCTCGGAGCCGGCCGGCGGCGGGCTGCCCACCCAGCCTGGGGGAAGTGGGTGGGAAAGGGGCACCGTCAACCTACCGCATGGTTCCAGGTTCGAACCCAGGAACCCAGCCCGAGAGAGCCCATGTGCAAACATCTGTGAAATGGGCGCAACACTCGCACCCCGACTCGTAGGCATAACTAGGCACCCGAACTAACAACGGGGCTAGCACAGAGTAGGTGCACCTTAAGACCGGCACCCTCCCTCGAGGGGGCGGACGGGCGGGGTGGGTGGAGAGCTACGGACAAATTTTCTCAGCTTCTTGGGTGGAAGGGGTGCAACGGGTTAGAGGTTTCTGACTGCACAGCCCCGGGATAGAACACCCCCCCCCCCCCGCCCCCAAGAGGGTGCCAGCCGGGACCGTCAAGGATTTTGTAGGGTGGGACTACCGTACCTGGGGGTGGCCCGCCATACTTCCTCTGCCCGTTCACCTGCACCAGGCGGATGCCCGTCTCCCTGACCCATGCCTCCAAAGCTGCCTTGTTTTCCGGATTCACCCTCTCACACCACAGCTGAAGGGGAAAGGGCTGGTTGGAATGGCGGATCACCGCGCCGCCGCCACCTCGCCTGTGGAGCTGCAGCCCAAGGAGTCCCCACTCCCAGCGCTGGTGGCGCTTGTCGACCCCATCTCGCTAACCACCTTACCTCACATTCCCGCTTGGACTGCATGGCTATCCCGCCAGCTACTCTGTACTCGCTTTATAACCTCCTCCCCCCCGTCTGCCTCTGGAAGCTTCCCTACCCCTCCACCCCCCAAGCTCTCATTGGCTCTGAACAGGACCCCGCCTCCCAAGAGGGTGGGTGTATCCACTGCACGTGCGCTGCGGAAACCTCCTACCCGCAGGTGAAAGCTGGGAACCTTAGCGGGTGGATGTGCTCGCAGTCTCACCTCCTAGGGCATGGATGTGCGCTGGCTGGCGGCACCCTTCACCCTGGGGAAGAGCTCGTGGCGCCTAATGTAAGTTCTCCCCATTTTACACCGCTTAAGTGGTTGAAATGGGAGGCCCAGGCTCCCACAGGGAAAGGCAGGGCTAAGCAATAGTGACACAGGCAGGCTCCAGTGGTTGAGTCATTTTATTGGACCTTTGACTGTTGGCTGTGGAGAGCATTCCCTCCATTTGGTTAGCATCCTGCAGGGGAGACCTTAGGATGGGTCCCTGTAGTGCAGACTGGACTAAACCCCCAGGACCTCCTATGAAAAACGGTGTGATACCTGACCATTTTGGCCGGTGATTACCAATAAAATAATGATAATAAAAAGTCTGTGTTCTGACCATTGTTCAGGTCTTCTTGCTGGAACAGAAATGTGCAAAGCTGCTGATGTACATAGGCAGAGTTCTGTCTTAGCTTCAAATAGTGCCAGTCCCACTTTCTCCTGATAGTGTGCTCAACTCAGCAGATGCAAAGGGCCGGGCTTGTTCTCCTTTTGATTTCTTCCACAAGGTCTTCTCTTCGGACATCCACCTGGCCAGGATGAGGTAAAAAGGTGGTATGAGCATCTTTGACTCCACTACTCCTGAGGGCCCACTCCTTCCTCTGGCCATCAGGCTTGGGTCAGCTGGATAAGGAAGGCAGGCAAACACCTCAGACAGACAGTGCTCCTTGGGGGCGCCAGAGACATGGTATAGATGGAGATGGGATTCCTCCCCTACTATGACAACAGTTAACAGGTTAAGTCCATTCTGAGTAAGTACTAATGGGAATGCCAGGGTTTTGCTCAGGTCTTGAATGGGCATTGGTCTGCCAAAATGGCATACATTCCCTGTCCCTCAGCCTTCCTGCCCACCTACCTACCTCTTCCCTACTGGCCACCGAACGAAGCTTGATGACCCCATCCTTGAGCTCCTGCTCACCAATGATGGCCACCAGTGGGATGCCTGCCTCCTCACAGTACTGCAGCTGGTTCAGCAACTTTGGGTTCTTCTTGTAGAGCAGCTCTGCCTGCAGGGGACCAGGGCAGATGATGAGAGCCGGCTTCTATTGTCCTCAGGGACAACCTCCTTGGGGCCCAAGTGCTTAGCTCTACTCCCAAGAAGTCACTATGGATGAGCTTTTACTTAGTCTGTGCCCAGCACTCCCAAGTTTGTTGCCTCCCTGGGGCTTGCCTCCTCTACCTTGATCCCAGCATCCCAGAGCTCCGAAACGAGTTTTAGTCTTTCCTCCAGCAGCCTCTTCTGTGCGGATGCCACAAGCACCTGTGTTTCTGTGGTCCGTACTTTTTCCTCCAAAGCCTGGGGAAGGGGCAGATAAAAGTCACAGAGCTGGGCTACCCTTTACAGTACTTTCAAGAAGCAAACAGAACAGGCTGTTTATTTATTGTTAGGATTCTGAGAGACCAGGCCCAACTCTGGGAGCTTCATTAACACAGGGGCCCAGTCTTCTCTAGCAATTGGGCATAAGGTAGTGTTTAGAAGATGTAGAAAGGAACTGACTGGCTTGTACATAGGACTTGCCAGAATAGATAATGTAGGGCAAGAGTAAAGGTAGTTTACATACAGTAACTTCAAACTTGTCTCCTTTTAGTACCTTAAGTGTTCACAAGAACATTCACACAGAAGTAACACTGTGAGCTCACCTAGTTCTAATTCTCACTTACTATGTGCCCAGTCAAGAGACTGTCCCTCTTGTACTTCAGCCATAGGGCCCAACCCAGGGTGTGGGTGGTTGGGGGGAAAGGGAGAATGCTGCTACTGTGCCTTGTCTTTTTCTTTCTTTTTTTTTTTTTTAATGTTTATTTTTGAGACAGAGAGACCTAGTGTGAGCAGGGGAGGGTCAGAGAGGGGAGGGGAGACGCAGAATCTGAAGTAGGGTCCAGGCTCTGAGCTGTCAGCACAGAGCCCAATGTGGGGCTCGAACTCATGAACTGCAAGATCATGACCTGAGCTGAAGTTGGATACTTAACCAACCGAGCCACCCAGGCACCCTGTGCCTTGTCTTTTTCTAGAAAACTATTTTCATAGTTCTTACATCAGATGACTACTGGAACAGTGATCTCAACTGGGAAACATGGGTGGTTTCCATTCCAGAGAAAAGGATGGGAGCAGTGGGAAGGTTACTGCCAGAGCATTTCCCAGGGGAAT